CCATATACCAGAGGTGGCAGGTTCAAACCCAGCCCAGGCCAAAAAGCTGCAAAAAAAAAAAAAATGAAAAAAAAAATGCTCAGAGTCCTTGGTCACTCTAGAATGGGAACTGGAGACAGATAAGGCATTCCAACAGCTGAAAAATGGTATTTTATAAGCTCCTGCTTTTTTTTGAGACAGTTTTATTATGTTGCCCTTGGTAGAGTTCCATGGCGTTACATCTCAAAGCAACCTCAAACTCTTGGGCTTAAGTGATTCTCCTGCCTGTCTCATAGCTGGGACTATAGGTGCCCAAGATAATGCCCAGCTATTTTTTGGTTGTAGTTGTCATTGTTTGGTAGGCCTTGGCCAGGTTCAAACCTGCCAGCTCTGGTATATGTGGCTGGCGCCCTAGCTGCTGAGCTACAGGTGCCGAGCCTACAGGCCCCTGCTTTAAGTCTCCTGCCAGGCAATTTAAACTGCATGTTACAGATCAGACTGGAATTGCCCTAGGAGTCTTGATCCAACACCGGGGTCCAGTTTTATAACCTATAGCTTATCTTAGTTTTAGCAGCTGTACCCCTCTTAATCTCAGAAGCAATTAACTTTGGGAAGAGAACTTTTTTTTGAGACAGTCTCATTTTGTCACCCTCGGTAGAGTGCTGTTGCATCATAGCTCACAGCAACCTCAAACTCTTGGGCTTAAGTGATTATCTTGTCTTAGACTCCCAAGTAGCTGAGACTATAGGGGCTTGCCACAATGCCCAGTTATTTTCAGAGACAGGGTCTCATTCTTGCTCAGGCTGGTCTCAAACCTGTGAGCTCAGGCAATTCACCCACCTTGGCTTCCCACAATGCTATGATTACAGGGGTGAGCCACCATGCCTGGCCTCAACTAATTGTTTATACTTCTCACCACCTTACTGGACTTTTAAATTCAAAAGGCAATCTTTGGCTATCAGATATGTACCAGATTTATGTCCTCCAGAGATGATTATCAGGCCACAAACAGCAAAAAGGGTTGTAGTCCAAGACCTGATTCTGTTGTGGACCCCTGGATCACCCTTCCTCCACAGAAACTCTAACTGCCCTCTTCTATTGATACAGGGTTCTCCCAGTTAGGGCTGGACAAGGGATCAGTTTCCTGTCTGGGCAATTTCATGAAGAGAATACACTAACATTTTGCCCCAAACTAGGGCAACCCTGGGAATCCCCAACCCAGATTTCCATTTACCATGAAACCCTGGATCACCCTCCTCTGAGGAATCTCTAATCATCCCTTTTATCACCATCCATCTTCAGCAGGAAGCAGTCAGGAGCAGTCAGTAACAGTTTCTAGTTTGAAGCTTTAATGGCAGTTAGAGTTTCTTTTTTTTTTTTTTTTTT